TATATATAATAAATTAATTATATATATATATATATATATATATATATATATATAAATTTATTATACATATATAAAATGCATTTGTCTATAATACGACATATTTTAATGATATGACGAACTTTAAAAGTATAATTTTGAACGAGTTGATATTTTTTATAAAAAAAATAAAATTAAATTTATAATAGAAGAATTAAAATCTGAAATTAAATTTCCTTTAGAAAATTAAACTATAAAGATACATAAGTTTACCAGTTACGCGTTTGGCGAATGTAAATTTTTTTTTTATCTCTTCTTAATTTCCTTGACATGTCGAACGTAACACATCGTCATGGAAATGTGACAAAAGCTATTAATTTAACAAGATGTCTACTTTTTTTATCTTACAATCAAGGATGTGAAATATCTACATATAGCGTATTTATAAAAATAAACAGATATTCGCATATTAAAACGCGACATATCAGATGCCTTTTTTATATATATCTATTTTTATTGATTTAATCTCGAGGTTTAATTTACTCTTTATTCTTTTCTAATTCTTAAATCTAAAAAAAGATTAAAAATTAAAAATTAGTTATGTCCATTGAAGTGAACATTACAGATCTGTAAACGTCGCTTTAATATGACAACTCACCATTGTGCGTAGCAGCTGCACGGTCGAGCGTTAAGTACTCTTATCTTCAGACAATTACATCTTCAATACAACAGACGGGTCGTTATCTCTAACACAACGCAGTGACATCAAAAATATCCGTAATTTTATTAACTGATCAGAATGAGGCAGTTACAATGTCGATATTAAGACATTATACATAAAATGTTTTTAAATAATACATCTGATACTTTGTACATTTGTCCGCTTCTCTTCGAACTGTCGCGTGTCGATATGTCATGCAGAAGCACTATGAGCACCCTTACGTTTCGAGGTACGTAGGTGAATACAATAGGTACAATCGTAGTCGATAGATTGATAGGGCGATATATACGATGCATCGAATCTGCGATGTTCGTTACACCTGACCTGACCTTTCTCGACAGGATTCCACCCATTCCATGTCCTTATAGTTGTACTTTTTATCTATTCGTAATGTACAGTATTCATTTATCGCACACTGTGCGTCACACATATCACAGTTTGGCACCAGAAAGTTCAATCGACCTTTTATTTACCCTACGTAAAGTTTGTTCCTTTCCAACATCTCCCAACAGACGAGAACAGTTGAAAAATTATGAAAATTATGCGACGTCAATCGGCTCTCTTATATTCATTTCTACAATAGGTTAATATTAATTTCGGTTTCATTCATTCTTTTTTCAATTCTAAGAATTAGAAAAATATAAAGAATAAATCAAACTATAAGATTAATTTATATCGGTAGAAATGAACATTAGAGTTACTCAGCACATTTATTTGTTCCATTAAAAAATGTATGCTATGTAATGGACCGATCATCGATAGATCGAAAGTAACTATATAATATTTTTAATATATAATCTAAGGAATTTGAGTCAGTCATGTGATTTAACTGTGATTTAACTGATATATCACCGATTTATCTTTTCATTTTCTTTTTGTTCATTATTAAGAGACATATCAAATATGCTAGGTACGCACGTCACTAGACTATTCGTCCCGACATGCTAAACGGTAACATAAACGTTTCACGCGAAGTAGTGAAGAATTAAATATTCCTTTTTTCCGTTCCCTAGGAATGTACATCTATATGATGATTATCGTCAGTGAGCTGTGTCTGACGAAGCTGCCTTCGTTGCCTCCAAAGCTGCTTGCTGTTGCTGATACCTGAGACAAACATTAATTCGATAAAGTTGGAGCCTTCTGAGAGTAGCGAGAGACAGACGCGATCTCAAATGACATAAATAATGTAAGAAGCAGCGCGAGCAAAACAGGAAAAGACTTGCTTAACTAATTCTTGCGACAGCATTAAAAGTTCTACAGAAATAAGGATAAAAATAAAACTCGTTTCTATGTTCGGCAGATCTTAAACAACAAATTGAAAAACGGCATAACAGAAACGATATTCAGAAGGTACAGAAACATAAATTTGCTAAACGACTTTTATGGCCTGACTTGAAAGTTTCGTCGATGTGATTACCTCAGGGCTCTCGTTATTTGATATATGGCCGTGAACGCGACGAAGAGGTTCACGCTAAAGAGATTCCAGTTTTTTGGGGTGATGGCTAAGGAGTACCTGGTCCAGATCAATCCCGTGATGCCCAAGGCACACGATTGGCTGATGGAGATTTTATTCGCTGGTCTTTGCAAGTCACCAAGACCGGCGATTACGAGACCCTACAAAAATTGTAAAAGTGATAATTTATTTAATATCTTGTGTCATCAGCCTTATCTTTTCTTTCATGTATACACACTCGTATATTTACACTTCGAAAAGAACGATAAATCTCAAACATTACGACGTGGCATATTCTCTTTAAATTTGACCGTGTTTTTTTTTATTTTCTTTGTGAACATATATATGCAAATAAAAAAATATTTTTATTACAAAGTACCAATGTACAGATATAAATAACAGAATGAATCAAATAAATTGTTTCGTGTTTTATAATGTACATCAGGAGATTTAAATTTATATCATTTATTTACATTTATGTTATTTTTACTTTAAAGTACGATGCATGAAATATTATATACGTCGTTAAAATAACATATTTGATGAAATTGAATTTTGATTAAGCGGGAAAATATTCTCGTTAAAATGATAAAATGCAAATGTTTATTTGTTTTTAAAAATGACTGCAAATCATTAAACTGCAACAAATTATAACGCGAAATACAGTGTTCAAAGTATTTCTGTAATGTATCTGTTTGCCAGCACACACTACATAGTAACTGCCTTGAAGCAATCTCGTGTGTCAATCTATTTGCATATCTACATGCATAAGCAATTACTCAATCATACAGCGCTTTTAAACAAAATGAAATCAATAAAAAAATTCGAGCAAGTAAAAATAGATTATATTTCAAAGCTGCAAGGAAAGCTCTAAGTTAATGATATTTATCATGAAAATCCGTGTTTATGTAACGTTGTTTGAATACAATTTCTCATTTATGTTTATTATTTAATTAATTTATCAGACTCGCGAGTTGGCAATATCGATATTAAAAGAATAAATATTGTTACTAACCCATTTGAAGGCTGGCGCCCAGAAAAAAATGGTTTGTGGACCTAAAAAGAATATGAATTGCAATCGACGTGATTTACGGGGCATATAATAGAGTGACGTAAGATTTCGTGATCATGCTAAATCTACAGTCAGCTTATTTTTCGTTCAATTATCTTTTATATAGTTCTTTTAAAGCAACACTCGACGTTCACAACAATCAGCACAGAACGGCATTCGTTCGTAATGTCGAAATATTGAATTCTGTGATACATAATAAAAAAGAAAAAAGCAAATAAAAGAAGTCTCTTATCACTGTATTTCTCTTTTTTTTTTACCAGTAAAGTTTCATGTTGAATAAATTCAAGTGATCAATGCGTCAGCATGGTTATTGATGTGTTCCCATCGCAACGTGTATACCCTTGATTCTATTCGCTCCATTTATTCAAGCTCTGGTAGCTTGAATAGATGTAGTAAGTAAATTCGCCAGAGCGACTTTGACACGGACACGAAGCCACGTGGCCTCGTTTCCATCCACTACAATTCGGTGAAGGTGCGATCGCTTCGTTTACGTCGCTTGGCAGCTACGCGAAAGGCGCATTGACGAAAAGTAGGGCAGTCCGATAAGAGTTACAAAATAAATAAATATTGGCATTCTCGATCATCGAACCTGGAATTTTACGTTCAATAACAATACTTTTTTGCGTTTTAAACTACGCATTGATTATTATATATTCGGTCTTGAAATATAGTCTTATGTCAAAAATAGAAATTTTATGGAATTAATATAGAAATAAATAATCATTAATATAGAAATTTTATATTATTAAACTAATATACAATTAATTTTATTGGATGCTGGTGGGTGTCGTAAATTTATAAGAAAGCTGCAAATATACATTTTCTCAATCAATTGCGTTGTAGAAATATAATAAATGCAACTGTCAGTTTTTTTTAATCAATGATATAATTCTTTCATTATGATTTATCAGTAATCTTTATTTATCTGATTCTAACGAAATGGGTCTGCATGATACATGTGAATTTATATTAATCTAGAGTATAAGATCGCAGGATCGTGTTGATGTCTTCAAGTATTTGCAAGGTCAAGAATATCGTAATCAATGTGAATCGATTAACAAATAAATAGTGTGGAAAAGTTGAAATGAAAGGCAAGGACAAATCGCGATATGGAAATTGAAGCAAACAACATATTCATTAATGCAGAATGCAGACTGTACTGTAACGAACGGATGTTTGTGCATGCCGTCGTCGGCGAGTCCTCAAGTCTCTTACGATTAACTACGATATCAATATATGGAAAAAAATCTTTACGTCACTAGTCGATAACAAGTGTCAAGATAAAACGGTGATTAGGGACATTTCCGCGTTGTATCAGTTCATCGTGGCCGCAATAATATCAAACCTAGCGAGTATTAATAGCAATTAACTCCCTAATTCCCAATTATTTACGGCAATTAATCAAAATTAAAAAAAAAAAAGAATATCACGATCGTCTCAACCTGAGAAAAACAAGATACAAAGTGAATGATTTAAATCACATCACAACCCCGGGGGGGAGGAGAATATCACTTATACAGAATCACGTCACGTCCGGGGGGCGTTTCATTCCTCTCAGTCCATCACGCACGCACGCACACACACGCACGCACGCACGTGCACGTACACACGCGTGTTCTCGCACGTGCCACCTGCTCGTTATGGCCTGATGATCGACCGCTTTACTGACCAGCTGGATGTTTCCACAGAGGCTGCAGCCTCTCGGGCACGAACTTGCCGATGGCATTCATCGAGTTCTTGTAGATCACCGACATGGCTGACATCGGGGATGGTCGTCGGTTCGGTGGATGATGACTCGCGGATCGATGACTCGGCGCGTGATCGGAAATCGAACGCGATCGCGGAATACGACGAGTAAACGGCGGACAGACCGTCACGGGTATCCGCACGCCGCGACCGAGAAACGCCAAGTGTGCGGATTGGTCGTGACGCTCACGCGCGGTCGCTCCCCTCGAGCTCTTCGCGTCGCTCACCCTCGTTTTCCCAGCTCCGGGTCTTGTGGGTCACACGGACCAGAGTAGGTAGTGGAAGCTTCTCGTTGGAATCGCGTAGGAGATGGACGCGCCAGACTTTAAATATTTTTTAGCTACCGACGAGATCTATCTATGCGGTGCGGCCGCGGTGCGATGCTGCTGTGAAAGCGATGCGGCAGAAGGGTTGGCACGTGCACGCAAGGGGGTTGGGCCGCGAAGTCGACCTCGCGCGCAAATATAAATGATCGGGTCGATCAAAAAAGTTTATATGCATCTATTGATATATACTCTTATTAGAAAGTATAAATTTGAAAAAAAAAACTATTCTTTTTTTTCAGAGGTATCCTAAATTTCGAGAGATGTACATGTAATTTTTGAAAATTACGACAATGTTATAAATTCAATTTTGAAAAAAAACTAGAGGAGTATATATTCTTATGATATTGGGATAATAAGAGATCCACTACAATGTATGAAGTTAGTTTACCCCAATAAGATCAGAATATGTATTAATACAAGAAATAACGTAGCATGATTCTTAATAGTCTAAAGTTACAGGAAATAAGTACATAATAGAAGCTGCTTATAAAATAAACAATGTAAAAAGAGGAAAGCATGCAGAAGACATTTGAAAACAAATGACGTTACCTTGTTGATAACAGTTAAACCGAATTATGTATGCATAATCTGATGTGTACATAAAAAAATGTGTACATAAATGTATAGTACAGTTCTTTAATAAGCGACCTTGCGGAAGTGTGCTTGCTGACATTGGCCAAGAGTTCCAATTCGGATGTTTGCCAAGTTGACGCTCTCTTGCGACGGTTAAAATTTCTATTAATAAAACACGAATTGCATTTGCGTGTGTTCCATGATGTCGAGATGTAAGAGATGAATACATTCTGATAAATATTATTTATAAAAAATTATATATATATACAATCTGTTGAATATGAGGTGATAATTTAAATAACTTACGACAAATTATTATTTAGCTCGACATAATAGAGAAGGATACATCATGTACAACAAGTGCATTGTTGTGTATATATTTATTATACACATATTTTTATTACATTTACATATTGTTATAACAGTGTAATTAAAATACAAATATTGTAGAAATAAGAAGCAAATAAAAAAATTGAGCTAGACGGAATACGGAATATTTAATTGTATCGTCCAATTATACTAACTATGACCGTTTCTGAATAATTCACTGTTTACTCACATTCGCAATATTTTCCCTTCAGATTGAAGACAGATTCATATCTAATTCTTTATTGCCTGAATAGAAAACTAAATCCTGTTGATATATTATATCAGAGATAAGTTTTTTATTTTGTTATTAATAAATCTAGATTTACATGAAGATAGATCAAACTTAATTTAATTTGTTATTATAATTTTGTAATATATAGGATATTTAAATTAAATACAATCTGATTGTAATTTACAAAAAAAATATTGTAAAT